ATGTCCAAAGCAAAGACGGTGTTGCCTGAAGCAATCCGAAGTGAAATGGCAGCTGAAGCACTAAAATATTTTTTATTTATTCCTTTCTTGGCATCTACTTCAGCAGTGTTTCTAACACTGTTCAGACAGATGCCTCTAGAAACATGGAACTGATGGTTTTCCCTCTTCTTTTTGACCTTAGCATCTGAGGTTCAGAGATATAGTACCTCTGTATATGCAAGTTCTATTACATATCTCTCATAACCAGCAGATCTACAGACCTACTCAGCTACATCCCTGGACATTTCTAGCATTGCCAAGTAATTATTATTTTGCTTACTCAATCAATACATATCCCAAATGGTAGAATACATATGGAAATGTTGACACAGATTAAAGTATCCCTTGCCTGTTGAGTGCTGGCTTTACCTCTTTGTTTTCTGCCTCTCATATCCATCTCTTGCTTCAATCTGTGAGGAGTTACCTCTGCCCACATTCTAATCTGGAGTTTTGATCTAGGTTGACTAGTCTGCAGGTGAGAAATGATGTCTTAATCCTGTAGATATATACATGTATGTACCCATATATGAATATGTATGAACTGAGGGTAGGGGTATACTCCTAAGATTTATTTACGGATTTTGTTCCCCTAAGAGTCTTCTGCACATAATGTCTATTATAATTGTATTGATTCTCTTTATACTTGTGCGGTTATTCTGTGTTATTCACATCTGATCTGTTGATCGTAATAAAGTATTCTATTCTGTAGTTTTGATCTAGGTTGATGTCTCCTTCCTTTCTGTCCTTTTTTGAAGAAATCTACACAGGGTTTTTCAAAATTGTGCCAGTTTATTTGCCGGCTAGCAGCCTCTTCATATTTGGGATGTAGTGAAGCTAAGATCATCTAACTCAGTGTTCCCCAATCTTGGGCCTCCAGATGTTGTTGGACTTCAACTCCCAGAAATCCTGGCCAGCAGAAGTGGTGGTGAAGGCTTCTGGGATAAAGTATTCTATTCTGTAGTTTTGATCTAGGTTGATGTCTCCTTCCTTTCTGTCCTTTTTTGAAGAAATCTACACAGGGTTTTAAAAAATTGCTCCAGTTTATTTGCCAGCTAACAGCCTCTTCATATTTGGGATGTAGTGAGGCCAAGATCATCTAACTCAGTGTTCCCCAACCTTGGGCCTCCAGATGTTGTTGGGCTTCAACTCCCAGAAATCCTGGCCAGGAGAAGTAGTGGTGAAGGCTTCTGGGATGTGTACTCCAAGAACATCTGGAGGCCCAAGGTTGGGGACCACTGATCTAACTCACATAGCTAAATCCAAACAGTGTTAGTTCTCCTGGCACAGAGGTACCCAAACCTGGAAGTCTGAGTCCCTTTCCTTATACGTACATGTTGGTTGCCAGATATCCAGATAACAATAGCAAAAACAAAAACTTTGTGATGGTTGTTGTGGATTTTTCGGGCTCTTTGGCCCTGTTCTGAAGGTTGTTCTTCCTAATGTTTCGCCAGTCTCTGTGGCCAGCATCTTCAGAGGACAGCACTCTGTGCTCTGGTGTAGTTTACTTGGGAGTTGAGTATTTATGGCTGTGAGATAGGCTTTTGTCCTTTACAGGAGATGGGTGATTAGTGTGTCTTGTTGTGGGTGTATTGTTGTGATAAGGAGGAGAGATTATCTGTCACTGTGATTGATGGGTGTCATTAGCTGGTCTTTTGTGTGTAGTGATCTTTGTGACACCAGCAGTTGCTGCACCAATCCTTATTCTTATTTCTTACAGACCTATTGGCCACTTTCTTTAAGTGTGCTGGTTATTTGGCTTGCAAGCAAATCCATGTGATGGATGAGGATTGGTGTAGCATCACCTGATGTCATAAAAGGTAAAGGTAAAGGTTCCCCTTGACAATTTTTGTCCAGTTGTGTTTGACTCTAGGGGGCGGTGCTCATCCCATTTCCAAGCCATAGAGCCAGCGTTTGTCCGAAGACTATCTTCCATGGTCACATGGCCAGTGCAACTTAGACACGGAACGCTGTTACCTTCCTACCAAGGTAGTCCCTATTTATCTACTCGCATTTACATGCTTTCAAACCACTACTGTAGGTTGGCGGGAGCTGGGAAAAGCAATGGGCGCTCACTCCATCATGTGGATTCGATCTTACAGCTGAAGATCTACAGACCTTACAGCACAGAGGCTTCTGCAGTTTAACCTGCAGCGCCACCATATCCCACTTTATGATGTCATAAAGGCAAGGATAAATACTGCTATTCCTCACTGCAGTTCCTGGAGGTAAGAGTGCTTTGAGGGTTCTCTCCCAGGTTTTCCCAGCAGAATTATCTTCTCACCTCTCTCAGTTTTTTACACAGTACCTTTCTCATTTACCTTGGTGGATAAAATAATCTCCTCATGCTTTAGGTTTCATTAAGGAGCTTAACCAAATGTAAATCAAAAGCTCTGTGTAGGCTTCATCATAAATTTTTGGGTATCCTAACTATCAAATTACTGGCCTTTGTTTCAAAATGATTTGTGGGAGTTAATTCATCAGAAATATTCCACTTAATTTTTTTTAGCTTAAGCCACATACATGATATGCACTATATATAGTATCATTCAAGTTTTTCTGCATACTGTGCTGAAGAATCAAACCACCTGCAACTGAAAAGTGGCTTGTCATTTTAACCACCACCATCATCATTCTTTATTACATTTTAACAATGTGAATTGCTGCCATGGAATTTCCAAAACAAACAAATTTTTAAAATCCAGTTTCTCACCCTCACATATATCTTTGCTGGCATTGTGTCTACCTGATCTAAATATCTGGCTTTCATATTCCTACAGTGTGCTCAGTATTTCCTCATTATTTATCATATAGAGTTTTACCTTACTGAAAAATGAGTCAAAGTATTTCACTTCTGTTTAATTTTTGGATTATAGTCTTGCAAACCATTTGCAAGGGGAATAGCAAAAGAAAGTCTGTATAATAATACAAACGGGAATAACTTTGCGGCAAGTGATGCAAGCTTGTTGGTTGAAGGACAAAGAACAATTAAATTTTTAAAATCCAGTTTCTCACCCTCATATATATCTTTGCTGGCATTGTGTCCACCTGATATAAATATCTAAGCAGCACACTTTTTATATTTCTACAGTGTGCTCAGTATTTCCTCATTATTTATCATATAGAGTTTTACCTTACTGAAAAATGAGTCAAAGTATTTCACTTCTGTTTAATTTTGGACTATAATCCTGCAAACCATTTGCAAGGGGAATAGCAAAAGAAAGTCTGTATAATAATACAAACGGGAATAACTTTGCGGCAAGTGATGCAATCTTGTTGGCTGAAGGACAAAGAACAATTCTGTTTTCTGATAAATTATACAATGCAATTTATTTATTTATTTATTTATTTTATTTAATTTATATCCCGCCTATCTAGTCGCGGTGGACTACTCTAGGCAATCTATTGAAAGGGTGAGCTAGCAGGTTAAAATATCAACAAAACGTTAAAAGAGTATGAGAAAATGCCAGTATCTTTCTTTGCATTCCCCACCATAAAAATGGTGTAGCCAAACAACTCCTCTCTTTGGACTGGAATGAAGGGAAAGGGTTATATCATTAACTGCTAATGAGATCAGAAACAATATTCAATACAATGTTGTGGTTTTTGTGCAACTGAGTTCCAAACAGCAAGCTGACGGGTCAGATGGCACCTGAAAGCAAATTCGTATTGTCTCTTCTAATAGGGCCATCTTTTCAGCCAAGCAAATATTCCAGTGCTACATGCTTGAGACATCCGACATGCACACAAAGCCATGCCATCTCCCTGCCCCCTCACTGCCCAATTCCAAAACAAAAGCAAGCTGTTTTGCCTAATGCAAATAGAGAAAAAAATAACAGATTAAATGGTCTTATTCTCATATGGGTGATTTGCTTATAGGTACGGAATCAGTAGTGTCTGCGCGTCAGAGTAGCAAGGAATACTCTTCCTGTGTTTTTCAAACATGTTGGTTTAAGTGATGGGAAAATCCAGTGTTCCTGTTCATAGACTGCTGCTTCCTTATAGGCCCACTAAGTCCTTGATGTCATAGAAGAGGCCTTACAGGTAAATATGTTCCCAAGGTCTACTTCACATTTACTGAGAGCAGGTCTTTTAGAGTGGTGGCACCATGGACTTGGAATATTCTTCCCACTAAAATTAGACATGGCCTGTTTACAACTCCTCTTTCTTAGACACATGCTTAGGAACCTATTTATGGAAGCCTGCTCAGTATAATTCTTCCTACTGAATAATTTATTGTTAAAGATAATTAAGATGTATTTTGACCTAACAGTTTGCTTATATTACAAGTGGAGAACCTTTGGTCCTCTAAATGTCTTTGGTACCAATTCCCAGATGCTCCAGCCAGCAAGGCCAATGGTAACAAAACTGTTGTTGAAAACATCTGGAAACCCAAAGGTTTTCCACGTGTGTTTTATTTAGCACATGTTATGATTTGTATATACAACTTCAAAATAAATATGATAGAATAAAATAAGACATATGGAGTTGGGGACATTCATTACATTGTAAATGTCTTGTGCAGACACAACACTGGTTTGCCTAAGAGATATTCATATAATTTGAGAATCAAGCCAAATGCAGCCTCCCGATCATGTATTCTGGTTCACTAGTGCATCAGTCAGCATCCTGTCTTTGATGCCTGCCTAGAACTTCAAAAACACGGAGGTTACCAAGCAAATAGTAAAGCTAAAAGGCTACATTCAACCTGATGGAATAAAAGCTATGCAGGTCTGACCAAGCTGCTACTGTCTTAATTGCTCAGATATAAGAAATACAGAAGAATATTACCTTTTCGATTTCCAGTACGATGCCAATGGACTTTGGGATAGACATGAACAGGCTTAGATTGACACCCGATCTACCTGCATACAGTCATAGTAATCCCTCCATACTTGGGGAAGCCTGACCTGCTTCATACATGAAAAGTATGAGCAAGGTGTTTGGTTATCCTAAGAAATTACCTGCAAAATGACTGCCTGGGGTTGCACCAAGTATTGTCTCATCAGCATGGAGCACCACTGCCATAGCATGAAGGAGAAAAAAAACAGAAATGTAAGGAAAATAGTATCTTTCTTTAAGGAGTGCAGTGAGAACTTTAAATACCTATATATCATATTACAGAGGCACTTTCCCTCCTGTAATTAACACCTCCGGTAAATATTTTTGTTTTTGCTAATAAGCACCCTAAATGACTTATTAGCCCAAAGCTGACATGTAGTTAAGTATTTCTCAGCAATTTTAAGTAATAAAAAAAGCAGCAATAGTCTATATGACTCCCTGCTTAGAAGAGCCCAACCAAGCTTTGTGATAGGAACATCATTTAGAATGCCATGGGCTGCACCGTTTGCGCCCCATGAAGCTCAACACAGTCCATCAGCCATGCATTGTGGTTTGAGAAGTGCTTAATAACCCAGGCAGACAGACAGGTGGTTTATCATGCCCCTGATAAGTCACCATGCTTGGTTGATGGGGTGTATTCAAAGTTAGGTGGTTCACACATCTTGCAGCCCATGTACACACTTTGCAAGAACATAGGGAAATGAACTCCACATAAATACAAGAGATGTAGCAATCTTTGACTAAAATTTCAAGACTTTGAGGAAGTAGCTATATCTCAGCACTGAAGCACACATTTTGCATGCAAAATTGCGTTGATCTAGTCACAAGCTACTTCAGATAAAAAGATTTTATGGAAGATGGCTAGAAAAACCTCTACAGCAGCCATGGAGTTTGAGAACGGCTGCCAGTTAAAAGCAATATCCCAGCTGTGCTAGATCACCTAGCTGAGCATAAAGAACTGTTTCATATGCTCGTGACCATTTGCTCAAGGGTGGTAGCTTAGCTAGCAATCCAGCACACAATGTGATTTGTGGAAATCTCTTACAGAAATAATTCCTTAGAGTTACAGTTGTGAAACACCTTTTTAAAAAAGCTTTGTTTAAACTTGTGTGATCAGAAGTCAAAGAAAGGATCATGCCTGATCACACTGGAAAGGGTTGCTTCACTGGGAGCCATCTCACTTAAAGTGAATCTGCTATCCCTACAGAAATCACACCAGCCTGGTAGGAATCTGATAGTTTAAAACATATAATCAAACATAGAACTGCATTAGCAAAATACACAGAGGTGTAAATACCAAGTTACTGTATATAGCATCCTGAAAACAAAGCATGAACTGTTTCCACGTTCTGTACTCTAGTGCAGCACAAAGGTGAGTAGCCTATCTCTAAACCATAGGAGTACTCTGGACTGTAGGTCCCGAGTGCATACTCACACACTATCCTCAGTTTCTTTCTATTTCTGTCTTTCTCCTCACAACACACAAATACACACTTACTAGATAACAAGTATTTTTGACATATTTTTAAAAGATGTTGTGGTTGATCGTGATCAAATCAGTGCAAATGTTGTCCTTGAAACTGGCCTTCTTTGTGTGGTCAAGCACTAAATGCAAAACTGGTATAAAGAATGGAGCAAGGCTTGTAGCAGAAAAGAGACAGCCAACCAAAATAAACTGAAAATTCACACAAAGAAATTCTCAGAATTGGGAAAGCTAGTACTGTACTGTAGACAGAAGGCTACTTAAATAACAAAGTGTACCAAGTCCGCACTCATTCATTTAAGATCTGCACCCTGCATATATACCAAGGCACCACTTTCACATTCAATGACCCAACAAAAGTAATAATAATTTGCATGCTATAACAGAGCTAAATGTTGGTAGTGATAATATATTATTATAATCTTGTGATATATATTGGCTGAACACTACAACTCCCTTGCCATAAATAACCATAATTAATTAAACCTACAATGCTAGATCCATTGTCCTCGGATTAAGCTCCATTGAATTCAGTGGGGCTTACTTCTGAGTAGACATATAAAATGGTGTGCTCTAAATGTGGATCTCTCTTTATCTGCAAAGATGCTATTTAAAAAGTAAGGGAACATGTCCTAGCCTCAGGAGAACAGGAGAAATGTAACATTCTGGAGGGAGAGCAAATAAAATCTCCCTGATCCCAGCCACCTTCACAGGCTATAGGACCATGTCCACAAGATCAGGAGGACTGGTCACAGAAAGAGATTGCAACAGGGAAGTCTACAACAAGAGAACTGTCCAGCCATCAGTGCTGATTCTCAAGTCTTTCTTAAGTGATATAAGGTAAAGTAAAGCAGTATACATTCCAGTTCCTTCCCATGACCCATAAAAACTGACTTGGTTGACCATCTAATTACTGTATTACTATACATGACTGTAAATTCTGTAATATTTTATAGAGGAAAAATGAAAACTAATTTCACCATAAGTGAAATAGGTACGGAATCAGCAGCATCTGCGATTCAGAGTAGCAAGGAACACTCTTCCTATATTCCTGTATCACAAGTAGGGTGAAAGAATGAGCTGTAAACAAGGACACTCCTGATACAAGCATCACTTTGTCATAAACTCAGTATATAGCTTTAATGAAAATTGCACCTCACCAGTTCAGTTAAAAAATAATAATCTGCATTGATAGAATAATAATTGGAACCAGATTGGAAGTACTGTATAAGACTGGCCCACCATATAGGATTGCTATAACATTTATTGAGATTCTATGTTGCATTGATAGAATAATAATTGGAACCAGACTGAAAGTATAATACTGGCCCACCATACAGGATTGCTGTAACATTTATTGAGATTCTATGCTATGAGCAGTTAGGAAAATGGTTATCAGAACATGAACTGTTAATTGTTATCCAAAGCACTGGAAAGCTCGTGTAACATTTTGTTTGGATTAAAAAAAACATAAGAGCCCATTCTCACATCACAATAAACCAAAGTTTGTATTAACCACGTTTTTGTTGCTTAAATCACATGAGAGGTTGCTTTTGTTGCTTAAATCGCATGAGAGGTGAGCAAACAAACTATGATTTGTCCTCCCTATTTCTACTTGTCCTTCATCACACACTTCTAGTGAGTGCCTGTTTCAGGACAGGCTACTGAAGAAACAAGCCAGGGCAAGCCATGGGTGAAGTTTCAAATATCAGAACAGGCTACAGTTTAAGTCAGAGGTCATACATCAACAAGAAGCCACTGAATCAACTGTTGTTTGTGGAGATTTAGCAAATCATGGCTTGTTAGAAGAAGTGGATCTACACATTACAACAAACTAGAGATCAGCAAATTGATGTGGAAATTAGGTCATAAAGAGGACCCGTATTTTATTATTTTCTCCCCTTTCTACCTGCTACATGAGCATACATAGGACAGCTACAGAAGCTTCCACCATACTTAGTACATTAGTTATGAAATATAATTTCAGGTTCTTCCCAATAGGGCATTTGTAGCCTTTAAATTCTACACCAGACTTCAAGGGGATTTCTCCTGCCATGAAGGCAACATCTAAATTCCCCTACTATGCACAGATATGAGCAGGCTTTGGGGCAGTGGATTTGGTCGAATTCCCACAGCTTTTAATTTTTTCTAAGCTCTCCGTTCATTTTGTGCCACGTTGTGCTTCTGTTTCCATCCCAAAGCTTGTCCATCCGTTCGTCCATCCTTCCTTCCTAGATCCTAGCAACGTGGGAGTGATTTTGAATTCTGACACTTCCCCGATTTAAAACAGATATGAGCAGGCTTTGGGGCAGTGGATTTGGTCGAATTCCCACAGCTTTTAATTTTTTCTAAGCTCTCCGTTCATTTTGTGCCACGTTGTGCTTCTGTTTCCATCCCAAAGCTTGTCCATCCGTTCGTCCATCCTTCCTTCCTAGATCCTAGCAACGTGGGAGTGATTTTGAACTCTGACACTTCCCCGATTTAAGAAGAAGAAGAAGAAGATGGGAGGGAATGACAAAAGAACTGGGAAGATGGAAGGAAGAAGCAGTACAGTGGTAGGTGCACCTGAAAAGAAGCCTGAACTAGTGGCAGAAGAGGATGCTTTTTTAAGACAATGTAAAAAAAGGCAGATAGATAATTTGGGGGGACCCTCAGCCATTCCTCCAAAGATGCTGAAAGAGAAAACTAGTCCATGAATTTCTAACATAAATAAAGTGATATACAGAAGTTCAAATGTCCTATCTAGAAGCTCCCTTTGCTACACCCTGTTGCATCAAGAAGTAATTCATTCCAGGCAACTGCGTTATTTATAACTTGTTAGTTCCAATATTTCTCATAGCCCCATCCAACTCCGGACAGTCTCCCACTGAAGGATATTGTAAGCCATGTACTCAAGCAGTAGAGTACTAATGAGACAGACACTCAGCTTCACACATCTTGTCTACCTATATGTGCCACCAGCCACCTCCAAATCCTTTCACTAAATTGGGAATTACCATTTAAACTTATGAATTTATGATCTCCTTCTCTTGGATTATCCCTGTTACTAGCCCAGGCAAACAGCCAATATTTCCTTCAACATTGCTGCTTTAACCCAGAGCTACTTTTAGAAAGTAAGAACACTTCAAGAGAAACACACTGCTTTATGTTTATTTTGGTGGCACTAAACAGTCATAGCACTGACCAGCAATACACATAGTATAGTTTTTTGCTATTGCTATCTATACAATAAATATGGAGAGTTTGTAAACCAAAGAGAAGTTTTTTTAAAAAAAAAAGGACAAAAAGGAATAAAAAGGTTCCTTCAATAGTAAAGGTAAAATATAAGAAACATGTTTCAATTTTTTAGTTTTTTCAATATACAATAATCAGACTTTACTTTTATTCTTTATAATTGTAAACATTTTCATTTCCTTATATATGGACAAATGGATACTTGTTTTGGTGCACGTTCCAACAAGATTATAATATTGTTCAAAGCTTCTTCACAAAAACAGATCATACTCAGTCCTAACTTCACTGACCATAACTAATATACAGGTCTCATTGACTAACACATATGCTGTCTCTTTCTCTCACACACACATATATACAAATGTATTATTTAATCAAGAACCAGTGTAATCAGCTTACAGTTCCATACCTAAACTTTCTTCCACAGTTCTTAACTGTTACAACTGCCAATTCTGACACACA